TGTATTTTAACATGTTCGATCGTAAAATCATCGAATTTGTGACTTGAAGTAAATTTCTCAAAACTGTTATATTTTGTGTATTTTAACATGTTCGATCGTAAGATCATCGAATTTGTGACTTCAAGTAAGTTTTTCAAAACTGTTATATTTTGTGTATTTTAACATGTTTGATCGTAAAATCATCGAATTTGTGACAAAGTAAGTTTCTCAAAACTGTTCTATTTTGCATATTTTAACATGTACGATCGTAAAATCATCGAATTTGTGACTTCAAGTAAGTTTTTCAAAACTGTTATATTTTGTGTATTTTAACATGTTCAATCGTAAAATCATCGAATTCGTGATTTCAAGTAAGTTCTCAAAACTGTTATATTTTGTGTATTTTAACATGTTCGATCGTAAAATCATTGAATTTGTGACTTCAAGTAAGTTTCTCAAAACTGTTATATTTTGCGTATTTTAACATGTACGATCGTAAAACGATCGAATTTGTCACTTCAAGTAAGTTTTTCAAAACTGTCATATTTTGTGTATTTTAACATGTTCGATCGTAAAATCATCGAATTTGTGACTTCAAGTAAGTTTCTCAAAACTGTTATATTTTGTGTATTTTAACATGTTCGATCGCAAAACCATCGAAATTGTGACTTCAAGTAAGTTTCTCAAAACTGTTATATTTTGTGTATTTTAACATGTTCGATCGTAAGATCATCGAATTTGTGACTTCAAGTAAGTTTTTCAAAACTGTTATATTTTGTGTATTTTAACATGTTCGATCGTAAAATCATCGAATTTGTGACTTTAAGTAAGTTTTTCAAAATATATTTTGTGTATTTTAACATGTACGATCGTAAAACCATCGAATTTGTGACTTCAAGTAAGTTTCTCAAAACTGTTATATTTTGTGTATTTTAACATGTTCGATCGTAAGATAATCGAATTTGTGGCTTCAAGTAAGTTTTTCAAAACTGTTATATTTTGTGTATTTTAACATGTTCGATCGTAAAATCATCGAATTTGTGACTTCAAGTAAGTTTCTCAAAACTGTTATATTTTGTGTATTTTAACATGTTCGATCGTAATATCATCGAATTTGTGACTTCAAGTAAGTTTTTCAAAACTGTTATATTTTGTGTATTTTAACATGTTCGATCGTAAAATCATCGAATTTGTGACTTCAAGTAAGTTTTTCAAAACTGTTATATTTTGTATATTTTAACATGAACGATCGTAAAACCATCGAATTTGTGACTTCAAGTAAGTTTTTCAAAACTGTTATATTTTGTGTATTTTAACATGTTCGATCGTAAAATCATCGAATTTGTGACTTCAAGTAAGTTTCTCAAAACTGTTATATTTTGTGTATTTTAACATGTTCGATCGTAAAATCATCGAATTTGTGACTTCAAGTAAGTTTCTCAAAACTGTTATATTTTATGTATTTTAACATGTTCGATCGTAAAATCATCGAATTTGTGACTTGAAGTAAATTTCTCAAAACTGTTATATTTTGTGTATTTTAACATGTTCGATCGTAAGATCATCGAATTTGTGACTTCAAG